GCAAGGTCTCCGGGGAAAGGTCCCTGGCCTGGACCCGATTGGCTGCGAGACCAGCAAGATGCAGAGGATTGGCCAGGTGAGGGAGCGGGATGCACAGGCGCGTGTTCTAACTCGGGGTGTGGCTAAGTTAGACTATATAGGCAGGCACGGAGGCATGGGACCTAGAACGCTGAAGACAAGGACCGCTAAACAGAGGAAGGGCTTTCAGTTGGATGCCAAGACCCTTCAGTTCCCTCCTGCTCTCTCTGCTTCAATCTGGGTGTTCTGGGGGCAAGTCTGGGAAGGGGCGAGATTAGACTCAGAGAAAAGTTTATGTAAGTGACATGGCTAGCAGAGCCTAATGGGGGGCCCTGGGAGATGGAGCAGGCCCAGGGGAGGGCGTGGGGAGCCGGGACAGGGCCAAGCCAGACCGAGTTTGGTTCACCTGGGCGGGGACTGCTGGATGAAGCCACAGAGCCCTGGCCCAGGCTCACCCCCTGGCAGTGGGTGAAAAAAAGAGAAGCAAAAGCAGCGCCATGACAGGCTCATAAAGAAGCCAGAAGAAGCTAGGCCTAGGTTTCGGGTCCAGAATTCCTGGAGTTGAGCAGTTACCTGGAATTTAGTTATGATTTCTCCGACTTGAGATAGCCATCATCAGGTCAACTAAGGTTACCAGTCAGACGCAGGTTGGGAAGCTCCACCCCTAGAGCACCTTTGTGTAACTTTTTTGTTTTTTGGCTTTTTTGGTCACACCCGGACACGCTTGGGGATTACTCTGGGCTCTGCACTCAGAAATGACTCCTGGTTGTGCTCAGGGGAACATATCGGGGATTGTACACAGGTTGGCTGCATGCAAGGCAAACACTCTCTCTACTGTGCTATCACGTGGGCCCCAAAAACCCTTACGTAACTCCTATTTTTTTCATTTTGGATCACAGCTAGCGATGCTCAGGGGTTACTCCTGAATCTGGTGGTGCTTGGGGACCATATGGGATGCCAGGGTTGTCTGCATGGAAGGCAAATGCCCTACCCACTGTAACCCTTATTTAACTCCAATCTAACCAATCAGCTGAGTACAAGCAGTGCAAAGCCGCTCTGACTGTGGCCAAAAGGGTGATCCGTGGAAAGTCCCTGTTATATAATGTTATGGTATAGAAGCCCCTCACTTTGGAGACTTGGGGCCACTCATCTAGAAGGTTGCCACTGTGTCGGTGAGCTGGACGAGGGTCCTAGTTCGAGCTAGCCAATACAGACCCTTTACTTATTGCATCGCAACCTGTCTTCATGTGATTCCTCTGGAGAGATCTCGGCCCGGTTTAACATGGGGGTCTGAAGAGATGATGAATTGGTGCATGGGATCTGGAACAGCCTCAGGTGGGCTACAGGGGAACTCTGATGGAATTGGAAAGGGGAGGCGTGACCTGGTCAGCATCTGAGGACTCAGGAGCAGCTGGTAGGTGGGGTGCTGCTGAGGCTGCAGGTCTGACTGTTGAGGAGACCATATGAAGGTGCGGGCGTCCTGGGATTCAGGGTCAGTATACAGGGTGGGGTCGGGGGAGCGGAGTCCTCAAGGCTGGGACCAGCGGCAGGGCACTCTCAGGGGTAAGTCTAGGTGAGCAGTCCTGGCAGTGGGATCTAGACCCCTGCCTGCGACACACACGTTAGACTTCAGCCCAGTACATCCTGTGCTGTGTACTTATGCACAATATAAAGTGCTCCCCATGCTCTGGGAGCATCATGGGGCTCCCCATTCTCTCCCCAGCAAGACCAGCCACCCTGGGTGGGGGACGCAGTTGTTCTTTTGGTGGGCATACTCTGCTATGCTCAGGGGTTACTCCTGGCTCTGCACTGAGGAATTTCTTCTGGACATGCTCATAGGCCATGCTCAGGGGACCATATGGGATGCTGGGAATCAAACCAGGGTCAGCCATATACAAGGCAAATGCCCTTCCCACTGCATTGTTGCTCCAGCCCCCTATTTCTGTTCTGAAGCCCCGCACCCACAGAGAGAGGATCAACAGCGGCATCTTCCAAATCCTTTTCTTGTCTAACAATCAGAGGGAGCTACCCTGCTCCTCTCTCCTTTTTATTTTTTTAAAGGAATGCTGATAGTTTTGTTTTCTTCAGTTTTGGTTTGGGGCCTCACCCAGCGGTGCTCAAGGCTTACTCTTGTTACTCCTGGCTCTGCTCTCAGGAATCACTCCTGTCAGTGCTCAGGAAATTATATGGGATGCCGAGTATTGAACCGGGTTGGAACGAGTGTCAGGTTGGCACCCTATCCACTACACTATCTGTCCAGCGACACCCTGCTTCCCATTTCATAGATAAGCAGACTGAATCACAGCTGGTGTGGAGGTGCAGCCCTCAGGTAGAAGGCCAGTTGCCCTGACAGGGCTCCCAGGACTTCAACAGCTGCGGGAAGGCATTTCAGAACGCAGGCAGCTGGGCACACAGGCTGCCCCCACCCCGGTGCTCTTCCCTGAGATTCTGATTCATGGCGCCCACACAGGCCCAGGGTCCTTTGGGGGCCACGCACAGCTTGGAGTGATCTTCTGTGGCACTGATGCTGGGCCTGGCGGGACCAGGGAAGGAGATCTGGGTCCTGATTGGTGAGAGAAGCTACAGAGGCGGAGCCAGAGGGTGGGATGGTGCTTAGTGGGCGTGGTCTGATTGGGGTTAGGGTTGACAGAGAAATCAGAGAAAGGAACGCTGGTGCCCTGTGGGACCTAGAAATTGAGGGTGTCCTGGAAAGAAAGTTCCAGAGTTGCATCTGAAATTGCAACGATGCTAAAACCCTACGCGGCAGGGACTTGGGCTGACCAGAGGCTGAGTCGGCTATCGGACGCGTTAGCTGGGAGAGCCAGGAGCTGTGTGTGCACATGCAGCCAGCTCCTTCGGCCCGGTGATCCTCTGCAGCCCGCTCGGATAGGTATCACCACGTGAACTCCTACGACGAGGACGACACCACGGAGGAGGAGCCCGTGGAGATTCGCCAGTTCTCCTCCTGCTCCCCACGCTTCGGCAAGGTGGGCCAGGGGCAGGGGCTGGAGCGTCTATACGGGTGGGGAGCTAGATCCATGGGGGTTGGGGGCCGATGGGATAGATCCAAGGGCTGGGTGAGGTGGGGTGCGAGAGACCCAGGGCTGGACCAGACCAAGGGAAGGGGCGGGGCCAAGAAGGGCGACGTCAGAGGGGCGGGGCTAGGCGGGCTGTTCCTGGTTGAATGTGGTTGTGGCTGGAAGTGGCCTGGAGTGAGGCCCGTGGCTCAAGCTGCAGTGAGCGGACCCCGGACCCGAGTTCTCACTCTTAGGAAGTGGGAGTCTGGGAGAGATGTGGCAGTGCGAGGCGGTCGCATGGAGGTCTCAGAACAGCCAAAGATGAGTCTGGATCTAGCGGGGGAGGTTTCAGGACCCGTGAATGAGATGGGCAGCCCGCTCTGCTGTTTGGCTGAGCAGGACCAACCGAGGGCCAGCTACAGTGTGACCTAGCAAGCGGCGGGAATGGGCCTGAACCCATTCATGAGGGCCTGAGCTGAGAGCGGTGGGGAGCTGGGCAGCCTTGGCGGTTTGGAGTGGGGTGTCTTCAGGCCCAGCAGCTGGAAAGCCGATTGCAAAGGCTGAAGGCGGGATGGGGGGGAACAACTTCATAGTCCACCGTGACCCACTGTAACGGACAGGTGTATAGCAGCATGGAGCAGCTTTCGCAGCACAAGCCCAAGACCCTTGAGACGAGCGCCGGGGCGGGCAAGTGGGAGCCAGGCGATAAGGGCCCAGAGGACCAGAGGACAAGGTAGCGGCAAGCGGGAGGGCCAGGGCGGCCTGACCCTGCATGGGGAGACCTGGACAGGGGGCTCCCCTGAGGTGTGAGCAAGCACTGGGCTTTGATGGCGGCGGTACTCTAAGGGGGGTGTCTGCTCTAACCACACTCGCTCTGCAGAGCAAGCACTTCTGGGCTGCAGAAGCCAGCTTCCAGGAGGGGGAGGCTAGTCCTATGCTGGGCAAGCTGGAGCCCAGCCGCTTCAGCGCCCACCCTCTACCCCGAGAGGACAAGGATGAGGTCCGGCTGCACAGGCCCTCCCATCCCCCAGGCTCACTGCATATGCCCGTGTCCAAAGAGGCCGCTCAAGGGGATTGCAACACTAGCCAGGGACCCCGAGGCCAGCGAGTGGCCCCCTCCTGTCTCCTACCCCGACTTCCAAGTGGCCAAATACCAAGCATTCAGGGAACCTGATGTCTTTTACTGCAAGATCTTACCCACACTTCTCACTCCAACCTAGGGTTGTCAGCGGCGCTAGAAACACCCTGTCGTCGTCCCCTTCGCACCACATCCGGCCCAGCACGCTGCATGGCCTGTCGCCAAGCTGCAGCGCGAGTACCGCTGGGCTGGCAACACCTGCTGTCGCCGCTGGCCCACACGGGGTCGCCCTGCCAGGCCACACGGTGGGCAGCTCACACGCGCCGCAGAGCTTCCCTGCCAAGCTGCATTCGTCTCCGCCTATGGTGCGCCCGTGCCCCAAGAGTACCAAGCAGCCGCGCTCACCCCTGACTGTCCATCCAGCGGCAGAGCTGGCTAAAAAAGGGGTGCCCTGCCCCACACCCACAGGTTAGCCTGGAGGTTCCCTATGTTGTACAGACCTTGTTACATATATACACATATAAATAAAGCGTCACTGTGCTCCATGACTTCCCTGGGGCTCCCCTTCTCCCCACCTTGCCAGGAAGGCCTTTTCACACACTGCGCCTGGAAGGGCCAATCCTGGTAACTCCAGGGCCAGACTCTTCCTTCTGTACTGCCTTTGAGTCTCACTGCCAGAGCAGGGATCACCAACTCCCTCTTCTTGGAGGATCATAGCCCCACACCCATCCTTTGGTGCTCCTGCCTGGGCAGTACTTCACCCCAGTCCTAGCCCCTTCTCCTTGCACCCACTTTGGGGCTCACCTACAGATAAGTGGTCCATGGGCTTCCTTAGGAACTAGAGTGCAGTTCAGAGCCCAGTGCCCACCCCAGCAAAGGGTGAATGGTTGCATCTTCTACATTCTCTTTATTCCCCAGGAGTCTGAGGCAGGCCCCCAAGTTTCCCATTTCCCAGGTGTGTATACTGAGAGCTCAGAGCTCACTGTTCATATTCTCCACGAGGTCTGGAGAGACGGTCTCCTGTGGGCAGGGTTGGTACCTGGCCACCAGAGACTTGAAGGCATTCCAGAGATTGGGCATCTGAGCGCACAGTGCACCCCCACTTCGGAGGTACCCCCCGTAGTTTCGATTCAGATCAGACACACAGGTCCAGGGCTTGTCAGAGGCGACGCACCACTTGGAGTGGTCTTTGGTGGAGTTGTAGGTTGGTCCACCAGGAAAGCTGATCTGGGTGACATCAAACACATGGTACAGGCCGGAGCAGTTGGAGGGCATGACCCGCCGGCGCCAGAACTGTACCTGCAGGTCACTGCTGAGAGTTGCTGCCAGCCACCCTGCGTACAGTTCTGCAGAGAAAGGAAGGCGGGCACAAGCAAGTCAGCAGCACCTGCCCACCCCAAGGAGGACCTGGGGACAAAGACACCCGTCCTATACTCATAGTCCCTATCCCTCAATCTCGGGGCTCACCATCTTCGAACTTTGTATACTTGGTGAAACTCCAGAAGGTGGCGCCAGCCCTGGATGTGAGGGTCACACTCCTGTTCCATGGGGGCTGGTACACGTGTTGGCCCCGAATCACATCCGCCAGCTCAGGCAGCTGCTGTCCAATGTTCCCCTCCAACTGACTGTCGTACACCAGGGGGTAGGTGTAGTTGAGCTGTTTGCCTGAGGGTTAGGCAGCAGAAAATGAGGACAGCGTCATAGACTGTGGCATTGGGGACTTACGAGGCCCCTGTTGGCACTCACCAATTTTTCGGAACTGCGCCAGAGGAAAGGATACGCACAACAGCGTCTGCCCATATGTGAGCGCATTGGAGGGCCAGCGGTACTCATGAGTTTGGGAAGGTGGAGGGAACCTGGGCACACTGTGAACCATCCAGAAACCCCCATCTTGGTCCAGGAGCACCAGGCCTAAAGCAGAGGCAGGGATCAGGACTTGTAGCAGCAACCCATGGGCAGGCAGCTGGTGGCAGGGAAGGGCATGAACTCAACAGGAGGAGGCAGGAATCCAGGTCTCGGCTCCCTGCCCACCCGCCCAGGTGAAAAGTTAGCAGAGGAAACATTTTTTGGAAACAGAGTCTTTCCCAGCGCGTGGTATGGCCTGACCCTTGGCGTGTCCATGAGTCACAGTGGGGGCCTCACTGAGCAGGGTGGTTGGGGGCTGGTCATTGTAGAGCAGGAAGGCGAGCTGCAGGGGGGAATGGCGGTGCACATTGATGCTTTCTCCAGCCCACCACCCACCACAGCGCCCCCACAACAGCCGCCCTGTACCGTGTCACCTGGCTGGTATAGTCTCCATAGAGTGGACTCAGGGTGAGGCCCAGGGCCCCCTGCTGGCTGCTGATGGGGCCCACACCATCCTGCCAGCTGCCTGAGTTGGCATCCAAGTACTTGTACTGAAGACCATCAGGCACTTCAGAACCATCCGTGCAGTCCTCAGGTGCACTGGGCTCTCCAGGGCTGTTCTTACACTTGGCAGGGAGCTTGTAGATGACAAACCTGGAGTTTGGGGAAAGCACAGAGGCATAGCAAAGAGAGCAGTTGTCTTTTCTGGGAAATTTCCCATTTCTTTTGCCCAGCAAGGCAGCAGTGTCCATCCTGAGCGTGACAACACCAATGTACTCACCAGTCCACTGGCTGGCCCGAGTCCCCGATGCAGGTCAGGGTCCCTGCAGGGACACACAGCAGCAGCACGGCCAGAAGCAGCAGGCTTAGTGCAACCAAGAAGCTGGGGAGGGTCCCAGGACCATGGGACCCAGGTTCACGAGCTTGCCTAGGCCACTTCCCCAAAGTCATTCTCTTCCCCATGCTCCCTGAGTAGGAACCCCGATGTGAGGATGTTCAGAGTGTGGAGACTCCAGAGGTGAAGCAGAGCTCTGAAATAAATTGGGGACCCTGCCCATGACCTTGGGTTGGCTTTGACCATGACCAGAATCTCCAGTGACAGGAATTACCTCCCACTTGCTCTGGGCCAATCAAAGATCAGCTCTTTTGGAGTTCCCACATTTTAATTGGAGTCATTCCAATTTTTGTTTCCCAGAACTGTGCTTTATTCAGGATTTTGAGGTCAGGTGCAAATTTGGGTTTTGCCCTTTTCTGTTTCATCAAACAGACTGCAGTTCATTTCATGTGACCTTTACTCTTGTTGGGGCTCGCAAGCACCTGATCCTCCCCCTGTTTATTCTGCACATCTTTTTGGCTGCCTTTGTATCTTTGGCTCCTGGCAGGATGAGAGGTTGTGAGTCTGGCCTAAAGGTCTGAAATCCATGGGTCGAGGACCAGACTTGGGATCTTGTACCTGATTGGGATGAGAAGTGAGGGGCGAAGAGGACGTGGGTGACATGTCTGCTGGGCTGAAGGGGGGTTGTCTCGGATGTTCATATGATGAGAATATAAGGGTGTTCTTAATCCCCATATATTCTTGTCTCGTTTTTGCCATACCTGGCAGTGCTCAGGGGTTATTCTTGACTCTGCACTCAGGAATCACTCGGACAGGCTTGAGAACCGTAGGGGATGCTGGGAATCAAACCCGGGCTGGTACCGTGCAAGGCAAGCACCCTACCTATTGTACTATTTTTTCGGCCCCTGATCCCCATAGATTCTGCAGGTACAATTTCTTCTCCTCTTCCAGCCTCCCAAACACACAAAGTCAGGACAACGGCTGAAGATTTTCTAGGAGCAACATTATGACAGAACTCAAAGGCATTCAAGGCAGGTCACAGAGTGCGCCCCTTCCACTCCGCAGGGTCTCCGGGGAAAGGTCCCTGGCCTGGACCCGATTGGCTGCGAGACCAGCAAGATGCAGAGGATTGGCCAGGTGAGGGAGCGGGATGCACAGGCGCGTGTTCTAACTCGGGGTGTGGCTAAGTTAGACTATATAGGCAGGCACGGAGGCATGGGACCTAGAACGCTGAAGACAAGGACCGCTAAAGAGAGGAAGGGCTTTCAGTTGGATGCCAAGACCCTTCAGTTCCCTCCTGCTCTCTGTGCTTCAATCTGGGTGTTCTGGGGCCAAGTCTGGGAAGGGGCGAGATTAGACTCAGGAAAGTTTATGTAAGGGACATGGCTAGCAGAGATAGGGCCCAAGCTAATGGGGGGCCCTGGGAGATGGAGCAGGCCCAGGGGAGGGCGTGGGGAGCCGGGACAGGGCCAAGCCAGACCGGGTTTGGTTCACCTGGGCAGGGACTGCTGGATGAAGCCACAGAGCCCTGGCCCAGGCTCACCCCCTGGCAGTGGGTGAAAAAAAGAGAAGCAAAAGCAGCGCCATGACAGGCTCATAAAGAAGCCAGAAGAAGCTAGGCCTAGGTTTCGGGTCCAGAATTCCTGGAGTTGAGCAGTTACCTGGAATTTAGTTATGGTTTCTCCGACTTGAGATAGCCATCATCAGGTCAACTAAGGTTACCAGTCAGACGCAGGTTGGGAAGCTCCACCCCTAGAGCACCTTTGTGTAACTTTTTTGTTTTTTGGCTTTTTTGGTCACACCTGGACACGCTCGGGGATTACTCTGGGCTCTGCACTCAGAAATGACTCCTGGTTGTGCTCAGGGGAACATATCGGGGATTGTACACAGGTTGGCTGCATGCAAGGCAAACACTCTCTCTACTGTGCTATCACGTGGGCCCCAAAAACCCTTACGTAACTCCTATTTTTTTCATTTTGGATCACAGCTAGCAATGCTCAGGGGTTACTCCTGAATCTGGTGGTGCTTGGGGACCATATGGGATGCCAGGGTTGTCTGCATGGAAGGCAAATGCCCTACCCACTGTAACCCTTATTTAACTCCAATCTAACCAATCAGCTGAGTACAAGCAGTGCAAAGCCGCTCTGACTGTGGCCAAAATTGTGATCCGTGGAAAGTCCCTGTTATATAATGTTATGGTATAGAAGCCCCTCACTTTTGAGACTTGGGGCCACTCATCTAGAAGGTTGCCACTGTGTCGGTGAGCTGGACGAGGGTCCTAGCTCGAGCTAGCCAATACAGACCCTTTTCTTATTGCATCGCAAACATGTGATTCCTCTGGAGAGATCTCGGCCCGGTTTAACATGGGGGTCTGAAGAGATGATGAATTGGTGCATGGGGTCTGGAACAGCCTCAGGTGGGCTACAGGGGAACTCTGATGGAATTGGAAAGGGGAGGCGTGGCCTGGTCAGCATCTGAGGACTCAGGAGCAGCTGGTAGGTGGGGTGCTGCTGAGGCTGCAGGTCTGACTGTTGAGGAGACCATATGAAGGTGCGGGCGTCCTGGGATTCAGGGTCAGTATACAGGGTGGGGTCAGGGGAGCGGAGTCCTCAAGGCTGGGACCAGCGGCAGGGCACTCTCAGGGGTAAGTCTAGGTGAGCAGTCTTGGCAGTGGGATCTAGACCCCTGCCTGCGACACACACGTTAGACTTCAGCCCAGTACATCCTGTGCTGTGTACTTATGCACAATATAAAGTGCTCCCCATGCTCTGGGAGCATCATGGGGCTCCCCATTCTCTCCCCAGCAAGACCCCCACCCTGGGTGGGGGACGCAGTTGTTCTTTTGGTGGGCATACTCTGCTATGCTCAGAGGTTACTCCTGGCTCTGCACGGAGGAATTTCTTCTGGACATGCTCATAGGCCATGCTCAGGGGACCATATGGGATGCTGGGAATCATACCAGGGTCAGCCATATACAAGGCAAATGCCCTTCCCACTGCATTGTTGCTCCAGCCCCCTATTTCTGTTCTGAAGCCCCGCACCCACAGAGAGAGGATCAACAGCGGCATCTTCCAAATCCTTTTCTTGTCTAACAATCAGAGGGAGCTACCCTGCTCCTCTCTCCTTTTTATTTTTTTAAAGGAATGCTGATAGTTTTGTTTTCTTCAGTTTTGGTTTTGGGGCCTCACCCAGCGGTGCTCAAGGCTTACTCTTGTTACTCCTGGCTCTGCTCTCAGGAATCACTCCTGTCAGTGCTCAGGAAATTATATGGGTTGCCGAGTATTGAACCGGGGTGGAACGAGTGTCAGGTTGGCACCCTATCCACTACACTATCTGTCCAGCGACACCCTGCTTCCCATTTCATAGATAAGCAGACTGAATCACAGCTGGTGTGGAGGTGCAGCCCTCAGGTAGAAGGCCAGTTGCCCTGACAGGGCTCCCAGGACTTCAACAGCTGCGGGAAGGCATTTCAGAACGCGGGCAGCTGGGCACACAGGCTGCCCCCACCCCGGTGCTCTTCCCTGAGATTCTGATTCATGGTTCCCACACAGGCCCAGGGTCCTTTGGGGGCCACGCACAGCTTGGAGTGATCTTCTGTGGCACTGATGCTGGGCCTGGCTGGACCAGGGAAGGAGGTCTGGGTCCTGATTGGGTGAGAGAAGCTATAGGGGCGGAGCCAGAGGGTGGGATGGTGCTTAGTGGGCGTGGTCTGCTTGGGGTTAGGGTTGACAGAGAAATCAGAGAAAGAAACGCTGGTGCCCTGTGGGACCTAGAAATTGAGGGTGTCCTGGAAAGAAAGTTCCAGAGTTTCATCTGAAATTGCAACGATGCTAAAACCCTACGCGGCAGGGACTTGGGCTGACCAGAGGCTGAGTCGGCTATCGGATGCGTTAGCTGGGAGAGCCAGGAGCTGTGTGTGCACATGCAGCCAGCTCCTTCGGCCCGGTGATCCTCTGCAGCCCGCTCGGATAGGTATCACCACGTGAACTCCTACTACAAGGAAGACACCACAGAGGAGGAGCCCGTGGAGATTCGCCAGTTCTCCTCCTGCTCCCAACGCTTCAGCAAGGTGGGCCAGGGGCAGGGGCTGGAGCGTCTATACGGGTGGGGAGCTAGATCCATGGGGGTTGGGGGCCAATGGGATAGATCCAAGGGCTGGGTGAGGTGGGGTGCGAGAGACCCAGGGCGGGACCAGACCAAGGGAAGGGGCGGGGCCAAGAAGGGCGTGGTCACAGGGGGCGGGGCTAGGCGGGCTGTTCCTGGTTGAAGGTGGTTGCTGCTGGAAGTGGCCTGGAGTGAGGCCCGTGGCTCAAGCTGCAGTGAGCGGACCCCGGACCCGAGTTCTCACTCTTAGGAAGTGGGAGTCTGGGAGAGATGTGGCAGTGCGAGACGGTCGCATGGAGTTCTCAGAACAGCCAAAGACGAGTCTGGATCTAGCGGGGGAGGTTTCAGGACACGGGAATGAGATGGGCAGCCCGCTCTGCTGTGTGGCTGAGAAGGACCAACCGAGGGCCAGCCTCAGTGTGACCTAGCAAGCGGCAGGAATGGGCCTGGACCCATTCATGAGGGCCTGAGCTGAGATCGGTGGGGAGCTGGGCAGCCTTGGCGGTTTGGAGTGGAGTGTCCTCTGGTCCAGCAGCTGGAAAGCCGATTGCAAAGGTTGAAGGCGGGATGGGGGAGGGGGGAAACTTCAGAGTCCACCGTGACCCACTCTAACGGACATATATAGCAGCATGGAGCAGCTGTCACAGCACGAGTCCAAGACCCTTGAGACAAGCGCCGGGGCGGGAAAGTGGGAGCCAGGCGACAAGGGCCCAGAGGACAAGGTGGCGGCACGCGGGAGGGCCTGGGTGGCCTGACCCTGCATGGGGAGACCTGGAGATGGGGCTCACCTGAGGTGTGGGCAAGCACAGGGCTTTGTGTGGGGGCGGGGCCCTAAGGGGCGTGTCTGCTCTGACCACACCCGCTCTACACAGCATGCACTTCTGGGCTGCAGAAGCCAGCTTTCTGGAGGGGGAGGCTTGTCCTCCACTGGGTGCGCGACTGTTTCTGGGTGCTGCTGGAGCCCAGCCGCTTCAGCGTCCCCCCACCACCACCACCACCAGAGGACGAGGATGAGGTCCGGCTGCACAGGCCTCCCAGGCCCAGCTCCCATCGCTCCCATCCCCCAGGCTCACTGCATATGCCCGTGTCCAAAGAGGCCGCTCAAGGGGATTGCA